AAAACATGTACTGAAGAATGAACGGATCAATGACTTTTACTTAAATATAGCCCCGTGTTCAGTGATGAAAATCAAGTTTTTAGAGTATCAAAACTTCCTGATTCGTTTTATATTACTTCTCAGTGTCATCCATATCGTTGCGTGTAGCACAATATATAACTATATATGGGTAGATATATCAGATAACTTTCCATATATAGCTATGTTTATTGTATACTTTAACGACATCATAATTACTTCCTGGATTTGAACCGACTGTGTGGTGCCATTGGCGATGATTAAAGTAATAGCGATACAAATCGGCGAATCAGAACACATACTTCATATATTTCACTATCATGTCAATTTCTGACATTTTAAAGGACCAATGTTTAAAACTTATAAGTAAATGCCAAGAGATAAGATGTTAGGCCTGTAGCATTGTCTGGCAGACATTTTCAAAAGAAACATGGATAATGTCCTTGGGTCAATTCCCCCGGTGGTCATTTATTCTATATAGACTTTAATTGAAAACAGACTTAAATCTTTTATTCCTTTTCTAGTGGACCTCCATAAAATGAATTACCGCAATGGGTTCATCTGGCAGTCTGTTCAATACTAATAATGGAGACAAGGCTTGTTTAAACATATTCTGTGAGTTGTCAATATTTGGCTCCTTAAATTACAAATTGCTCAAAAGTTTACTTTTTTCTGATAGCATAATGTTTCTCGTCATCTACCCTGCTTCGTCGTAATCTCCTTAACAACTTTGTAGATTTTTAACACATGTAATAGGAATGACCGCTACAAAATATATTTGAATAGTTCTAGTCTTAAAGTAGAAATCATATGTTTGCCATATATTTCACACAGTATGAAATGTCACCAATTAACATTAAGCGTTGGCACTATGACTGTGACGTTCAAATATATTTTTGTAAGATCGAATCTTATCAATTAAGCCTCGAAATGAATTTACATCAACATAGCGTCAAAAGGTCAGGGAATCGCATTGTAACATGGCCAGCGATTGGCTGAAAAAAAGTGCTGGGAAAACCGTATGAATCACTTTATACATGAGGTGATTGGATGAGAATGGGGTATTTTTAAGTATAAAAACAAATTCAAAAAGTAACACTACATTGTTTTCTGAAGAAAATGAAATATTTCATGAGTCTCTATGATAATTTTGACTTGGATATTCGCATTTATAAAAAGTGTATGTCAGTCATGTGATCAGCAGAAAATTTCAATGAAATGGGGGGTTATCCTCTTTGAAGTCATTTTGCAAAAAATTTGGTTGGCTACCACTATATAACAGGAACATTTTTATGTGTCAGGCATTTCATTCTGCTAGAAAAATCACCTCTTTAGCATGAAAACTCAATTTTAAGGTAGGATTACGGACCATTTCTTATAATGTAAGTCTATGGAAATATCAATGTGAGTGTCTGACCAAAAGAGAGATAATATAAACATCTTAGTGGTTAATATTTGCCACGCCATGATGCGATCATGGTCTTATCCTGTTACAGAACCCGTTGTAGCCTAACAAAATAGGTCTTTGTAGTTTTGAAGTGCCCCAAATTAAAGTCTCTCCGAGTTTGATTGGTCATATTTAAATTGCATTTATTACATTTGTGTATTTTTGTGTGTTATATGATATATTTAAATGTTGTCGTTTGTGTTTTATTCCAGGACTTCATTTCTTGGCAAGATGATCAAATACATGTGTATGTACTACTCGCAAGCAAGAGTTTTTAAAGTGGACATTACAGAGTCCCAGATTTTTGAAAATTCGTAGATGTTTAACACAACACATTTTGGGTCTCTTTTGACTTTTGATAGTACATCTGATGTTTTAAGTTGAACACAGTATATGATTCATTAATGGTAGTGGAATTCAGAATAATTTACTACAGAACAATTGTGTGATATGTGTGATAGTGTACGAAATTTGACAAGGCAGACATCATTATCACAACATACCTATGTCTGGTCTGCAATGAAATACGGCGTATAGTCAGAAACCTCCAAAGATCCTTGAAACCATGACAACACAAAATAAAGATGAGTGTGTTGTTCCATTGTTGTTTGTGTTCTTTTTTGTGAGAATACCTAGTTGTATTTCTTGTTGTTGTGTGCTTGAAAAGCCCAAAAATTGTACATGTATGTCACACATAAACTAGCGCTAGATTCCCTGGTCCGGATTTATAACTTTTCCTGAATTGTTGATGGTGCTTATTATTAATTTGTTTTACATTGTCTTTAACACTTTATATGGAAATGTAGCTCTAGATATATATTTATACCTGACAAATTATTTGCCATATATTGTTTAATTTCCGCTGTCCTTATATCTACTACAGAATTATCATATATTAATGATTTTCTACGGGTCATCTTTTGGCTTCTGCACAGTTATTAGATTTATTTCTCGAGATTGTAAATCCTCAATGTTGATATTGGTTTAATACATTATCTTAATATTAGATTTCGTTTGTAAATGCATTCTATGGCAGCAGCCACCTTGACAATCACATAAATTTGTTTTCGTTATATTGCATGCGCGCTCATTTACTCGCCAAAATGAACATATAAACACCCTTAAGACATGTTGCCTGCTATTTAAATTTGTCTTTTGACATCTTGTCTGTGATATGCAGGCTTCACAACCTTTTCATGGAACGGCACTACTGTGTCAAATCGAATTGTCCATTCATTCAGTATTTTTTGTAATGATTTTGAAGCAAAGTTATGATCGTCAGAAATATTCTACATGTATAAGGACATGATTACTGACCGATGGAATGATTATAAAAGAGTATCCTAAAGAGGTGAATGATGATGGAGGAAAACTCGAATTGTAAGTGTAAATTTATTTAACGTCTTCTATAACAGCACATGACTGTAAGGATGTAATTATACTGTTTAATGATAAATAACTGATAAGTGTATGCAAGTAAGGTATCCGGGTATAGCAACAACATATCAACAGTGTATAATAGTGTTTCTGAGTCCTATAAAAATAAAAAAATAAAAACAAACAAAAAAACAACAGTTTGCAAACAACAACAACACAACAACACCATCAACACCAGCAACAACAACAACAACAGCAGCAGCAGCAGAAACAACAACAACATATCAATCCATTTTAATCATTGTAATAACATTAGCATACTACGTATTTTAGCGATTTATAGACATGTACATCTATACATGTTGATAATGGCCCTGAACATTATAAATCGATCTACAAGCAAGATCAGAACTGCTACATTGTGCTCACTGTTTGTTTTAATCTGGCGATACCTATTACAATAACAATGAATACAGAGAGGCTGAAACCACTTTGAATAATTTGCAAGTATATAAAATAAAGCGGTGACACATTTTCCATCAAAGCCCCTATATACAATGGATCTATGAAACACCCAATAGAACCACAAAATTGGAAGTACCCACCAACCTTTCCGGTGATTTTAAGCACATTTTCATGTGTCCATACCATAAATGTTGGGAAACAACAGGAAATACCAGCCCCCATTAATGGAACCATTGTCCAAACAATGCCGGATATATTGTAGATAGAACCAAAATAAAGAACAACGGAAGACACTATTATTACTATCATATTAGTTATAAGTATTTTATGAGTTCGGACAAGTTTGGAAACGAAAATTCCAGAGAAACGCCCGATACTGTAAAATGTCCACATCAACGAGATAAGAAAAGCCCCATCGCTCTTTGACCAGTTTAACTGGAGGAGAACAAATGACATGATAAAGGATAAAGCTTTGCATTCAACAGCCGTGCTGGAAATGACAGAGAACCCCAATAGTATTAGAAACAAAATCAACTGACATTTGCTTAGTTTTACCCGTTTAACCTTTGAGGAAGATTGGTTACCACTTTCATTTTCGTTTGTTTTTGTATATGTTGGTACTTTCTCATATCCATAGCAAAATAAAATGATATACAGTATGCCAGATAATGCTGTCAGAACTCCAGTGATTAGAAATGCCCACTGAATTTTAGTTTCAGCATAAATGACCTGTTCCTTTTCATCGTGTCCGGTTATGTTGCGGAGGTTACCTGACGTGGTAAAGTTGTTCGACATGTTCCATCCATGTGAGATTGCTGTATTGTTATTTTCAATTTGTCCAAGTTTCGGCGCAAGGAAATTACGTGTTACAAGAGGTGAAATTATTCCACCAATAGCGAAAGAAAAGTGGAGCGCAAGCATAAATGGTGCGCCATGTTTTCCCCAGCATGACATTACTTTAGCATTTCCACCTAATATACCAACACAGAAAATCAAATTTTGATATCATAATTATATTTTAACAAAAGTAACATATTCTTGGAAGCAATGGTTCCGTACCATTATCATTGACTAACTTATGTGACCAAGTAATGTTACAAATAATAGTAAAAAGATATCTAGGTGATCCATGCTGTTAAATCTTTAAATTTTTCCGAAACAATAAAAAGCCTAGTCGTTGGACATACAATTCCGTTTATTTTTTATGTTTTCCAATCTAAATATAGCTAACTATTTATTAGATACTCCGGTTGGATTGTATGGTTTGATAGTGAGACGGACTATATTATATTTTATTTCATTTTTAATGAAAAAAGGAAAGTTTATTTTCGTACTTACTGCTGTCCCTACCTCCCGCAAGAAACCCATCGACCAGACGAACAAAGAGAAATAACCAATACTGACTGCACCATGGTGATACCGCACTAGTTATTCCGTTTATAATGGAAACAATACCTGAAAAATCGTACAAAGAAAAATAACAAATACCGACTGAACCACGGTGATACCGCACTAATTATTCCGTTGATAATGGAAACAATATCTGAAAATCATGACGTGTATCTTCAAATTAAACTATGTTTATTGGGTAATTCAATATTACGAAAGTGTTTTGAGTGGTAAAAGTTTTCAATTTGGTCTACACACAAAATGACTCTCATCTGTAAAATGTTTAAATACAAACACTTTAACTGATACATTATACTGCGTAGATTTAACAGTTTATTCTTTGAACTATGAACTTAAACAGTTTCTTTGCCTTATTCCATTTTACTGAAACTGAAATATATTTTACCATTGCCATTTTCTTTAACATTTACTACAATTATGGAATTAGTTTTGATGAAGTTCAAAATGTTATATAACAGTTATGAAATGAAAAAAGGTAATTGTGTGCCTCGAAAAACGTTTATACCATATATTTGTTTATCAAAAAAAAATGATGAATTAACTTTAACAAAACAAAATCAATTAAAGATTTGTAATACATATGTACCATCATTTTGACACTTTACAGTATTAACTTTGATATAAAGTATGTCAAACTAAAAACACATATTATCTATACCATAGCATTACACAACACATCGAAAATGTGACAAATTATTCAAAGCACGTCTTATGGTTACTTTACTATAGTATGTTGAATTTTAATTGTTAAATTTTGCATATATTTCATTTATCACAAATGATATACAAACTTGCGGATAAGTGTATTCTATTTTGTTCAAAAACATATATTTGTTTTTTTTTTATACTGAAATCCTTTAAACTTTAAAAGGCCTGTTCCAAGGAGGTTTATCATTCAGATTTAGAAATATAAAATCATATTCTGACTAGACAAGACTAGACAAGAAGAAGGAGAAGAAGAAAACATTTGAACCCACGTCAATGTAAACTATATTGCATTACTGAAAATAAATATTCTTCATAAAATACCCTTTTCATTAGGCATCTTACACATTAAGCATTTCAACATTGTTGCATCGTAGATGACATTGCTGTATATAAGCACGATATGAAACCCATGACTGTATCGAAAAATAATGTTGCCAACCCTAAGTTGTACTTCGTGATATAGTATTTTTGTTGCTAATCATTGCTTTGCTTAATATACTCATTGTCTTGTAATATTAAACGTTGAATTGCTAAATCTTAGCGTTGTTTTTTTTAAATCGAAGCCCTGTCTCGATATATATATATATGCATTATTTTACTAAATTTATGAATTTTTCCGTAATGTAAGAATTTTCTAGCCACATGTAAGCATTACCTTGTTATTACATGGGCTGTCTGACTAAATTGGTGTATTTTCTTGATAATTACATACATTTATTTGATAAATCTATGTGTTTTCGTGCTTACTTTAAAAATTGTCTTGATTAATCTAAGCATTGTCTTGATAAATCTATATACATTATTCATTTAGGTCTAAGAATTTTCTAGCATTATCTAAGCATCTCCTTTTTAAAGCTAAGTATTGTATGGATAAATGAACTGATTGTCTTGCTAAATCTATTCATTTTATTGCTCATTCTTCGCATTTTCTAGTCACATCTAAGCATCACCATGCTATATCTTAGCGTTACCTTTGCTGAATATTAGCATTACTGTGTGGAATTATGCATTATATTTTTTAAGTAAGAGATGCGACTTATCTGTCTCACCCAGTAGCTGAAGGCGCTGTACGATCCGATCATATATAAAGCCTATCGTGATACTTCCGGTCATATAGCCGAATGAATTCACAGTAAACAAAAGCGATGTTTGTTCAACATTTGTTCCCAGAATCAGTTGTATATCAGGAAAAGCCGTCCCAAGCTGACCGTATGTCCATCCTTAACAGACAGAGAAATTTGCAATTTGTTAATGCTATCATTATTTAAAAATACAATTTTCTTTCTAAAACGTTATAAAAATTTATATTGCCTTTTTTGTTCATAAACGCTTAAAGCCAAATTTAAAACAATTTTGGAGAAAGAAACTATATTATCACGGGTATTAAAAGAAAAGGGATTGATTTTCTCAATCATCCATTTAAAGCGTTAAATTCGTAGCTTAAACAAGAACATTTAAATTAATTTACATAGCTACATATTCCTTCTATAAATTTTCCGGAATAAAATTACTTCATTTTTGTATAGTCGAACATGTGTAAAATTCAATAACTTGAAAACCATTACCAATTATTATGATATATTCAACCATGTCAACAGCAATCAAGTAATTTGTATCTTTTCCAGGAGCGAGCTCATTGGCTTATGTTCTTGAATGACAAATATTTTACCAGCGTTATCTTGTTTTATGATTCATTATAGGACTCAATAGGAGAAAATTTTTTGAGCAAATATCCCCGTACACAGCTAAAAAATAGTGAAACAAATATAAGGCTACTCTGTTTTTTTAGGTTGACAATAGTGTATGGTTATTACAATTACCTACTTTGTGAACGTATGCAGCTTTATTTTCTGGTTAAAGTAGAAATTAGCAAGTATATCGACCACGTTTTAAAGTCCAAAATGTTGATTTGCGAAATTTTAATATCCGACTTTACAAAACCCACGATACATGCGGGTTATTTTTTTAGCATTTGTCCATAATGTTTGGTGAAAGACTGGGTTTCTATGCCAGAAATAAAAAAGAGATAAAAAAGAATAAAAAACCCATAAAAATTGACACAACACATAAACAGATAAAGCTCTCCACTTATACACGTAACGTAAATGTTGACTTTGTAGAAGAAAAAATCGGCGTTTGGAAAATTATTTTTTTTAAATTGAAATGAAAAGGCATAATTAAAAATGAATTGCGTATTTAAAAGTTATAATTTGAAATAAAATCATAAAGGAATAAAAAACAAGCTACATATCATGATTGATAACATATTCAGACTAACCAGTAACAAGATATTAAAATAAACGCAGACTGTCTGAACAAAGTTTTTCTTCTGACACGGACTTTTGAACGTAAAGAAAGTTTTCAGTCTATTTTTTAAACTTGGATGTTTAGATTCTATCTCCATTCCCTGAACTGTATCTTTTTCATCCATTTTCTGTCTTAAACTTCTGTTTAAACTTTAAGTTTTGTTATTTATAAAGCCATAAACTTTCAACGCATCATCGTAACCTGTTTATCTTTAAATCACAATTGTGTTATGTTCTTGTTGTATTTACACAATATGGTAAAGACAACAAAGTTAAGGTGGAAACAAATATCTGCAGTATCTCCTCTGAACTAATTATTCATTTTACGCATCGATGTTCTTGTACACTGTATTTACCATCCGTACAATTATAAGGTATTTTTTAATAGATAATAAGTAGCATTTAAAGTACATTGAATATAAATGAACATATCTAATATAAAAACAAAAAATAAGAAAAAATATCACAATGTCCTAAAAAGAAATGTTTCAACGATCTATCAAGGGTGTTAAATTATACGTTTGTTGTGTTAAACTGTTAAAGAAGATCAGTTATTAAAACTCACAATCATGCTTACAGAAATGTCAAAAGAACACGTAGATGCAAAAGAGGAGACACATTTTTTATTACAGTGGATTGTTACCTCAATATATACTTTCCACGTCCCATTTTATCAAATGGATCAAAATAAACAACGCAATAAAGATAGAGAATTTGAGACAACGGGACATTATGGAACGAGCTAAAATGCAATTGTAATAGCATTATAAATGTCGTAATTAGATAACAAGGTTAGCTTTTAACGAAGCTAGTAGCGACTCTCTTAATTTGTCATTTCTATTTACTGCAGTGTGTTTTAATGCCGAACTGACAACTCTCTAAGTTAAACAACAACCTTGAAAATGATGGAAGTAACAAAAAGGAGTATTCCATTCCTAACAAGTTTACACCTGAGGACTAGATATATCAGGCTGTATCCACATAGAAATAATTAAGTTCCTATGTATATCGTGTGTTGATCGCAAAACTGTTGTAAGTCCTTCTTTATTTCATTTAAGATACTGCAGTCTTGCGGTCAACCGTCGGGTATGCACTGTCACTTTATGACCCGTTGAATATTTTTATATGTCAGGTCCATGTGACATTGACTTTTTGACATGCAAAAGTGTGTGGTAGGTAGAACTCACTAAAGTGTCTCCACATATAATTTGTTTAGTTCAGTCTAAGATCGTAATATATTTCACCGAGTGAGCACCAAAAGGTATATTTCACGAGTGGCGCAGCCACGAGTGAAATATGGACTTTTGGTGTTCACAAGGTGAAATATATTTCGATCTTACACTAAACTAAACAAATTTTCTTTTTATTATATGCAAAGAAACGTTTTAAAAAGACATTAAACCAAATACTGAATGAAAAGCGCGCCAAAAAATAATACAACGTGACGTCATTTACGACGTCACGTCATTAAGTTGGTACCCAGTACTGTGAACGCTGGTATTTCACTGTAACAACGTAAGGGGTTTAAATTCAAAACAGTGAAATTATCAAAGTGGTAATTTCACTGTTTCAAACAGTGAAATTACCAGTTTTATTTCACCGATATATTTCTATAAACCACCGAAAAGCATGTAATAAATGAAGTTTATTTGTTATAGGTTGATTAGTATTGGAATCAAATGAGTGCTAATAAACACAAGTCCTATACCAGTCTATCCCCTTGGTTTGGGCGAATGTTGGCTCATAAGTCGTGCTTAACACTTCTTTTGCTTAGTTCACAAGGGAATGCTCTTGGGGCGTGGAACATTTTAATCCCAGGGAATTATTTTGATACAAGTAGATTTGGTGGTGGTCCAGAGGGCGATACCACATGCCAAATATTAAACCTTGAGGCATTTTAGTTTGAGAAAATAAGACTTAAATGTGTGTCTTTCCAATATAAGTCAAGCTGGCCCCTTGAACTACATTAGCAACAGACCGGTACCATTTGAACAACTTTGAAAGGGGACCACCAAAGTTTGCTTAGAGAAG